TAAAAGTAGAAGTACTCAGATCTTGTACTTGAGTAAAAGTAGAAGTACTCAGATCTTGTACTTGAGTAAAAGTAGAAGTACTCAGATCTTGTACTTGAGTAAAAGTAGAAGTACTCAGATATTGTACTTGAGTAAAAGTAGAAGTACTCAGATCTTGTACTTGAGTAAAAGCAGAAATTGTACTTGAGTAAAAGTAGAAGTACTCAGATCTTGTACTTGAGTAAAAGTAGAAGCACTCAGATCTTGTACTTGAGTAAAAGTAGAAGCACTCAGATATTTTACTTGAGTAAAAGTAGAAGTACCAGAGTGTAGGAATACTCTGTTACAGTAAAAGTCCTGCATTCAAAATGTTCCTCAATATAGTGAAAGTATCCACAGTAAAAGTAGTCGTTGTGCAGATTGGTCCATTTCAGAATAATATCTATGATATGTTTTATAATGATTGATCATGAAAGTGTTCTCAAAGCTGGTAAAGGTGCAGCTAGTTTGAATGACTTTGTATACTGCAGGGTAGCTGGTGGATTTACTCCAGGTGGAACTAAAGTCTGATTCAACACTTGATTATATTTCACATCATTCATCCACATCTGTGAAGTAACTAAAGGTATTAAATACATGTAGTAAATGTACTTAGTTACTTCCCACGTCTGAAGACCAATTCTGCCAACAATTATCTACCAGGTTAATTAAATACGAGAGCATTTGTACTTTAGATCATAGAGAGTTTTACCTTCTGCTGCAGGACGTAAAGCGACGTCACAGCATTTATTCCATTACGCTCCGTCCTTTTGGGAAGCAAATCATCTGTGGCACAAAGTGGAGGGTCATTCATTAACACTGCATTCTAGATGTTGGGATTAAGCCTCTTTTTGTAGATTATATGATCACTTTATGTGAAAGATGTTTAGTATTACGTTACTCTACCTGTGTGAGTGATTCGTAAGCAATCAGAGTAGTCATTGTATCTGTAGACAGGGTTTCCAGCTGGGTGGTGGTGCCTTTGCCTATCAACATGACACCAAAGCATTATGTCATAGTATGATGATTTAAAAAACAGTCTTTAGCTTGCCGTACACAAGCTGAATGGTTTGCAAATTCAAATCCATTGATTTGAATGTAAACGCAGGAATGGCGCAAACTCAAACACGAGAACGACTTTTCAAGGAGTGATGGATCCGGAGTTGGTAGTAATTACATTTTTGGAAAGGCAGCAGTGTACGCTGGCAAATATCTAAAACTTCCATACAAATACATCTTTGGTGATTATATGGAGGGAAGTGTATCCTTTAAGTTCAGGGTGGTTAGATAAAAATCCGACCAGTGTTTCCACTATAGTTGTTTTAAGAGCACCCTGAACACAGAGGACATCTCGTGGCACGGTTAGCTGGTTTCATTAAGCTAGGCGCAACCTGCCTCATCGCCTTGGAAAAGTTAGCACAAGATTAGATGTGTGTCCAAAAAAGTGTACGATCCTTTAAGCTTCTTAGCAATTCTTACTTTTTGTTAGGCGTCCAGCAGGCACATATTGTGACCAACGTGATGAGGAGGAAGATGCCTCCAGTGGAGAGGATGATGTAGAGCGAACTCCTTCCTGTCAGCATAGGCAACATTACAGGTAACACACATTATAAACAGAAAAACAAGGGATCGTACCAGGCAGGATTTTACAGAACATTACCTGTTGGGTATTGATAAAATATTGGAGTAAGGCTACATTTAAACCACAGGTAATGTTGGCCACTTTAATTTCTAAAGACTTTGGGATGGATTACCATGAAATAAATCCATAGTGGCCTGAGAGTAGATTCCTATTACTTTGGTGATCCAATGTGTTGAGATTCATATTCCTGATTTTGAATGAAATATTTCAACATCGATTGGGGGGATTGCCATAACATTTGAATTTATAATTAATTGTGATCAGAGCTGGTCGTTATCTGTCTTATTGAGCGTTTCCAATACTTCTAGGTATAACCGATTATTGTAAACAAACAAATCTAACTGAACAAATCTTATTTATGTCCGGTTGTATCGTCCAACGGGTCATATGACACATTTTTATAGGAAACAACACAAACATACCAGTAAGGTAACGTTGTATTCACTTAAACATGATTGGTATTAGTAGGAGCCATGGGTGTTGTTGGTGTGTCAGTTTATTTAAGTTATACGTATAGTGCAATATTATTTTGAATACTTGGTGGCGGGGTTTAGCTGCACCGGGTGTATATAAAGAGGTCATAGGTGACCGGAAGAGGAAGGACACAGGAGGAAGAGAGCATACCAATTCCACCAGCCCGGCAGATGCTCATCACAACAACTAAAACTGTACAATCAAACCTGGTATCTAAACGCTGAATAAAACATTATAAACTGCAACAAAGGACCGGAAAGTCATCTGTTTGTGTCTGCGTCTGGATCACTCTTCAGCCCTTCTGTGAAGTAATGGCAAAAATATATAGGACAGAAACAGGAAATTGTCATTACAGTATGGAATAGAAGTGTTATTAAATATAACTTACTGTAGACGGTCAGTTTGATGGGCAGGCTCGTCATATTGCCTACAGGATTCTCCACCATGCAGATGTAGATATCGTCGTCCGCCATCAAGACTCGCATGATGGTCAGGAACTTCTGATCCGGAGACAACACGAACCGCGTCATGTTGCTCAGCTGCTTCCCCCCTTTGAACCACCTGTATGCAGTCTTGGTGCCATTATCATGGGAGCAGTTCAGGACCACGTTTTCACTGAGCTCCAGAACCGATGTCGTCTCCATGTGGATGAAGGGCCTGGATATAGACTCTGGATATAGGAGATACAATCATTTCCAACATGTAAACAGACAAAGAAAGAACAGTACTACGAAGCGGGATTTGTGGTTAGCGAGGTCACTTCACGGTTTCCAGTCCTACGATGCTGGTTCACTTCTTACCGGGGTGAAGAGCCATCGTAACTTCTTCTCCAGAGCAGGTTAAGTTCAAGATAAGAGATCAACTCGAGTTAAAGCTCTGTCTACTGACCAATCAGAGCTCGGTGCCCAAAGTTTAAGACTATGAAGTTACATATTCCAGGCTCAAGGAAACACAAAGACGGCCTGCAATGAATTACTGACTGTGCAACGTTTAAAGAAAATCACTGCAAACCTTGTACAATCTGACTATTATGAGATTTGTGGCAAGCAAGCTTACTGAAATCCTATAATGATCCACAACATTAACGATAAAGGATTCTATTCTATTCTAACATTAGTTACCGGAGAAATGCACTCGTAGCCGGACTGAAAAACCCTGGGTTGAATTACAGAGTTGATGACCAACGTCGTAGGATCAAGTTTGTTAGGGTTAGTTAAGCCAGATTGAACTGGCTTCAGACAACAGAGGCCTGTACTACGAAGCTGGTTCAACATAACCTGGATATGTTTGAGTTAGCCGGTTGGTCTAATCCAAAACATACGCGCTCTCGCTAAACGGTACTACGACACGGGTTATCAAGTGGATCGCTCGAGCCAGCCGTGTCCTATCTAGTTAGGTGCGCGTTCACATGAAAGGGGTGGTATTTGGAGCATTCGACCAATCACAAACATGGACAAGCGTACTGACAGCGCAGCGTCATACTTCCTGAATGAAAAGTCAACTATAATATTAGACATATGAAGAAGTTAAACTTTAAACATCCATGACTTAAACACTTTATCCAGGATCAAAGCCACATAGCTGCACCTGCAAGGTGAATACAGCTGGTAACAGAACAAGTGTTTGAATGCGTACATTAACAGGTTTATGATATCACTGCCCCGTCTAAGACACCATCTGACTTTAATTACATTTGTCTCGAGTGTTTCGTCAACTTAATGTGTTGCTTAAAATAATACTTCTGCATACAATGACACTGTGAGTGTTGCACGGCCAGATACGGCTCAGCTGACTCAGATAAGGAAATATATGATACATTATGATGTGATATGATAGAATGATAATGGGACTGAAAGTAGAAGTACCAGAGTGTAGGAA